TCAATACCATATCGCATGTTTGAAGTAGAAATAAAATGAATAACGTAGACAAGAGTGCACAACCGATTACCGGGTGCAAATATAGCTTAAGATTTTGGTTTACGAAACACAAACAGTGCTCAATACCATATCGCATGTTTGAAGTAGAAATAAAATGAATAACGTAGACAAGAGTGCACAACCGATTACCGGGTGCAAATATAGCTGAAGATTTTGGTTTACGAAACACAAACAGTGCTCAATACCATATCGCATGTTTGAAGTAGAAATAAAATGAATAACGTAGACAAGAGTCCACAACCGATTACCGGGTGCAAATATAGCTTAAGATTTTGGTTTACGAAACACAAACAGTGCTCAATACCATATCGCATGTTTGAAGTAGAAATAAAATGAATAACGTAGACAAGAGTGCACAACCGATTACCGGGTGCAAATATAGCTTAAGATTTTGGTTTACGAAACACAAACAGTGCTCAATACCATATCGCATGTTTGAAGTAGAAATAAAATGAATAACGTAGACAAGAGTGCACAACCGATTACAGGGTGCAAATATAGCTTAAGATTTTGGTTTACGAAACACAAACAGTGCTCAATACCATATCGCATGTTTGAAGTAGAAATAAAATGAATAACGTAGACAAGAGTGCACAACCGATTACCGGGTGCAAATATAGCTTAAGATTTTGGTTTACGAAACACAAACAGTGCTCAATACCATATCGCATGTTTGAAGTAGAAATAAAATGAATAACATAAGTAGAAATAAAATGAATAACGTAACTTTTAAAATTTTCACCAAATCCACTACCTTTATGCTCAAAATCAGCATATATATATATATATATATATATATATATATATATATATATATATATATATATATATATATATATATATATATATATAAATTTGACATAAAATGTTCTAGAGTGTGTATTATTTAATTTCCATACCCAGCGCAAGCAGAAAGATGTTGTCTGCCGCGGCTGGGTCTTGAACCCGCGACCTTCGAATTACTAGATCGACGCTCTACCAACTGAGCTACACGGCCAGATGGATTTAAGATTGGAAATTATGATATATATATATATATATATATATATATATATATATATATATATATATATATATATATATATATATATATATATATATATATATATATATATATATATATATGTGACAAACAGAACGGCTACGTTTGAAGAAGTTTATTAAAAAAAGTTATATTAGATACAAAAACTAAATTTTCGGCTGCATGCCACAGCCTTATATATATATATATATATATATATATATTAAGATGAAAATGTTGTAGAGTGTGTATTATATAATTTCCATACCCAGCGCAAGCAGAAAGATGTTGTCTGCCGCGGCTGGGTCTCTAATACACACTCTAGAACATTTTCATCTTAACATATTACAGAGTGTACAATTACACAACTAATATATATATATATATATATATATATATATGGTTAACTTACGGTTGGTTAGACCGCTGCACCGAAATCGCAGGGCCGTAGGTTACATTCCTACCAGAGGAGTTATACCCTATAGGTAACTTGAGCTGTTATACAAATATTTGACGTCATTAGAAAAGCGTAAATAGCCTATATGTCTGTAAATGAGCTATTGGCTGCAGAGCAGGAATTTTTTCCTGTGCCTACATGCGGATATTAGTTCGTTTGTTGAGTTCAAAGAGCTTAATTTGGGACAGTAAGTTATAATAAACTTTTCGTGCAAGCATAATTTACAACGTTTTGTTTTGTGTGAGTACGCCTTGCATTTCTTTAAAATTTTCCAGGGGATAGAATATTCTATGTTGGATTGTTTCAACTGCCAAATATATTTACTCAGTTCGGTTGAATGTTTATGTTCCGGAATCATGTACGAGCTTGTGTGATTGTAGTATCTCAATTTAAATGGGCCAGCTGTGTGTCCAACGTAGGTCGCTTTCTGCTGATTGTCTTCTCAGTCACGTACTGTGGCCTGGAACACGACGCTTTCGGTTAAACCTTTGCCAGGGAGGGAGGGGGCAGGACACTTCCTGGGGGGGGGGAACTGCACTTCCTATCGGAATTTTTAGTAGACTTGGGCTGCTTGCAATTGAGTACGGTTCTGTTGTGCGCCGTGATGATATTGTGCACGTTGGGCATACAGCTGTAGCTTAACTTAAAGTACGACTGTGACGTATGAAAAGTCATCATCGAGAAAATTCCCTTTTTTCCAAGCAACGACTTTTTTATTGCACCAAAAATACTTCTGTAAAATTTCAGGCCAACATGATTAACAACAGCGGAATCACGAGCATTTAAAATGTCCAAAATCGCTGTCCGCCATTGTTGTCACGAGAGGCTTCTGACGTCTTAGTCTCAGCAAACGTAGAGCATCGCATATATTTCAAGCCAGCCAAAAATTGTTGGTCATGCTTCGAGCGGCGGAGGCGCGAGGCTTGCGAGGGGGGTCTTGGGGCATGCCCCCTGAAAATTTTCAAAATTAGAACCCCGGACATGCCATTTCCTGCGATTTGAGCATTGAATTCTAAGCTTCAAAATGACCTTAAGAAGGGGAAAAACTTCGCAAATTTACCGTATTTTTGCCAAAAATGACCAACA